AAGAGCGTCTGTTGATGAAACTGGTCCAAGATGGAAGGTGAGTAAACGTCTCTTCACCTTCATACGTGTTTGTGGAATTCAACCAAATTGACCTGTGTACTGCTGCTGTCGTGAAACATCTTCATGATGACCTTTGACCTCCTCCTCTTCCAGTGCTGCGTCTGTAAACCATGGGAGACTGGAACTTCCTTGGAGGAATTTTGGAGGAGGTGCACATCCATTCCACCATGGTGGGAAAGATCTGGCTCACCATCCTCTTCATCTTCCGAATGCTGGTGTTGGGCGTGGCGGCGGAGGACGTTTGGAACGACGAGCAGTCCGACTTCATCTGCAACACAGATCAGCCCGGCTGCAGGAACGTCTGCTACGACCACGCCTTCCCCATCTCCCTCATCAGGTACTGGGTGCTGCAGGTGATCTTCGTGTCCTCGCCCTCTCTGGTCTACATGGGCCACGCCATCTACCAGCTGAGAGCGCTGGAGAAGGAGCGCCACTGCAAGAAGGTGGCGCTGCGTCGGGAGCTGGAGGCGGTGGATTTGGAGCTGGTGGAGGTGAGGAGGAGGATCGAGAAGGAGATGAGGCAGGTGGAGCAGGGGAGGCTCAATAAGGCCCCGTTGAGAGGGTCTCTGCTCTGCACCTACGTGGCCCACATCGTGACCCGTTCCATGCTGGAGGTCAGCTTCATGATGGGCCAGTACGTCCTCTACGGACCCCACCTGAGCCCGCTGTACAAATGTGAGCAGGAGCCGTGTCCAAACGTGGTGGACTGCTTCGTGTCCCGGCCCACGGAGAAGTCCGTCTTCATGATGTTCATGCTGGCCATCGCCTGCATCTCGCTCTTCCTCAGCCTCCTGGAGATCATGCACCTGACCTTCAAGAAGCTGAAGAAGGGCATCCTGGACTACTACCCCCATCTGAAGGATGACCTGGACGAGTTTTATGTGGACAAGTCGAAGAAGAACTCGGTCGTGCATCAGGTTCACAAAGGAACCTCAGTGGGACACAAGACCACCATCGCCACCGCTCCGAGTGGCTACACCTTTCTGGTGGAGAAGCAGGGAAACGGACCCAACTACCCTCCACTCCATACCTCTGCTGGTCTGACGCCCACACAGGGGGGTGCAGGTCCAAAACCACAGGGCTGTAAGGACAGTAAGGAGGGGACATCACGTCCCACAGAGAAAAACAGCTCCTCCAACAACACCAGCAGTGAAACCCGTTCTCCTCCCACCAACAAGCAGGAGGAGCAGGAGGAGCCGGAGGAGCCGGAGGAGCCGGAGGAGCGGACCTTCCCAAATCACAAAGACCTGGAGTTTCCCACGCTGCCCGTGGCCGACATCTTCTCCTGCTCCGCTCTCTCAGGGATCGGCAGGAAGTCTCGGAGGGTGAGTGCTTTGTGGAACTGCTCCACCGTGGTGGAGGGAAACGGCACCGACAGCAGTGACTCCTGCCCGGGGCTGGGCAGCTGCGTGGCCCCCAGAACCAGTCTGTTCTCCAGGTCGGACAGCAGGAGGCCGACCAGATCTCAGAGCCCGGAGTCTGCGGAGGAAATGAGTTCAGCGTCTCGACACAGCCGGGACAGCAACAGCCCCGTCACCTCCTCTCCGAACCGCAAGGGATCGGCAGTGAGCGTAGGCAGCAACAGACGAGCCCTCACTGATCTGCAGATATGAATTCATTCAGACCTGGGGCGATCTGATTGGTCCTGCTGCGACGCTCCTCCTCCAGTAATCTCCGACATTTGTCACACATCTGCGTGGTCTCCAATACAGTATGAACTTCACAGTTTTTCTGTCGCACTTTAAGTTCAATATACTGTATGTGTTGCTAGACAGAAAGAGGGAAGAAAGTGTAGTCTGCTGGTCTGATCGGTTCTGAAATCTGTTGATGGAGGTTTGTTCTCTGCTGGTTGAAAGTGTTCGTCTCTGGTTGAGGTTCTCTGAAGTGTTTCAGCTAATGTTCCTACACCTCTTCTTCTTCTACTCGTTGTTTCTTTGAACCTGAACTTCACTCTTGGTCCTTCATACCAGGTGTTAATACCAGGTGTAAAAAGGATGACTCATTTTCACCGGTCATACCAGGTGTTAATACCAGGTGTAAAAGATGAGAGGGTCCCCCCACCCTCTCATCTCCATGTTGGAAACACACAAACACCAACCGACGGGCGTCTAATGATTCTGTCTGGCTCAGGCTCAGCTGTGGGAACGGAAAAGTGCAGCGATCCATCCTGCTGCTCCGTGTCGTTACGCAACCAGATGTTTTTAAAATCAGTCCAGCTACGGCTCAAACATGATGTTCCAGAAATGTTGTTAAAAGTCAATGATATCAACAATATAAAGATCAAACAGCAACAGGCGAATGATTGGTTTTTAATTTTTATCTTTTTTTTTTTTCAAAAATTGAAGTTGATATCAGTAAAATGTTTAAGATGGTTCTGTTGTTGATGTGCTGTTTCAGGAATGACACAAATTCAAATGCTGAAAAAAAAAATTAAAAATTTATTGTTGCATAACAAAAAAAGTGACTCCCTTCACCATGTAACGGAACCACCGGCATAACGGCCACAAACATACGCTACAACAAAAAAAGTCTAATAGTGATGAATACATTTATATTTAAACATATGTGACTTCAAATAAAAAGCTTTCCACTGGTCTATTCAGCTGGTTTCTCCTCCGGCGCTGGTTCACACTGCATCAGCTGTGGAGGACAGGGAGGTCAGAGCGGCAGAACGTTTGTAGATACTGTGGAACCCCGAGTGTGTGTGTGTGTGTGTGTGTGTGTGTGTATCTCACCTTGTTCTTCAGCTCGTTGTTCTCCTCTGTGAGAGCCTCACACTTCTGCTGAAGTTCAGAGATCTCCGTGCGGAGGGCCTCCACGTCTGCTGGATCTGGACCTGCTGCACCCAGGTGAAGCTTGATGAAGCTGCGGACCAGAGTCAAGGACCATGTGTACAGTACGCACCAGATGCTACATCTCACATTTTAGACCGAGTTTTGCCTAAATTCCAAAATAGAAATGGAGACTGTTGCGTTCGGCGGAGAAAGGATACTCCAGTGCATTGTTGGGTTTGTCTGGCTCCTCGTAAAGTGCCACCAAAACTGCAGTCAGAGAAAAATGGAGATGAAAAATGTGGGAAAACAAAACGTTGCATCAGAACATGGATTATGGACGGAAGCGACAGAAATAAACTGTATTTGTTCACAAGATATAAGATGTGAAATAAGACGGTGTGCTGCACCTTCTATAAGCTGCTGTAGGTCCAGACCAGGGGGACCAAAGTCCTGGTCCGAGGGCTGGGTGTGGCCCACAACTAGATGTCAATAATGATTTACTTTTACTATTTATTATTTATAGGTTTGTTTATTCATTAACATTACACAACGGCATTCTGGTGTAATATGGTATTTATAAGATTAAACAAGGAAAAAAAAACAACTTTTTTTTTTATAATATCGGGGTTTTTTTTCTGGAATGACCCCTAGGGGAAATTCTTTCTCTCCTATTCTCCCGTTCTAGTTTCACGTTTCTTTAGACATCACAGATCTTTGGCCACTCAAGACTTTTATTATTATTATTATTATTTTAAAACATTAACTCACTGCTTGTTAGCGTGTCCAGAACTCCAGACTTCTCCAGGTATCTCCTGAACTGTTCTCGCTTCGACTCCGAGGCCTGGAACACAGCAGATATTTCACTCTTTACCACAAACATCGACAAACGTTAACACACGTTTAAATGTCCAGGTTGTGTTAAATAAACATTAACCTGAAGGTTACTTCAACCTCTGTTTCCTAGCGGTTTCCGCGTTTAGCACATACTGCTTTAGCAACAAACTTTTTTCATATATATATATAAAAATAGTGAATTTAAAGGTATACGCTGCAGGTGAATACTTACTCTGTAATGCGCCATGACAGTGGTGACAGCCGTTTAATTACCGTTTGTGTAACACACTCTGTTGAATTCGGTTTCAATCATCAGCAGCTGTTTCTTTTAGGTTGTGTTTCTGTTTTGTTTGGTTCACGACATCAAGAGCGATCCCGCCGTTGCCATAACAACAGTTTTACGACTTTAAACTGTAAATTTTATAATAAATGTATTAATTTTTCTCTCTCTATCCGTGTATGGAGGAAAATGTCTTGACAACGTGAAATAAGAGACGAATTTGTGCTATTTACAAATGTCATGAAGTGTGTTGAGTTCACGTGTTAAGCGAAGAACTCGTGTTGCCAGGTTGTGGAAATGAAGGGGAATTTATTCAAGTGAAGCAGACACTGTGGTTGTTTGGATACTTGTCTTCGTCGTTGTTACTGTGATCGCGTGGCTTTTGACGGGTGATACTTATTGGGTTGCCGTTGACCACATACATATGTTGGCCTTTAATCCCATTGCCTTTTATCCACAAAACAAGGGTTTTAGCAGGCAGTGCTGTTTCTTATTATAGTATAGTTATAGTCAGTGTTTGTTGACGCAAGACACCATGAATCATCCTCAATATTTGCTTCTAAAGGCATTCTAAATATATTTTATTACAAGCTGCCCTTTACAGAATTGTCAATGTCAATGGTGTAAAACTGATCTTACTAAAATGAAATGAAAATGGAAAATTCTAGATGAGGGCAATAATGTAGCATAACAGATGCCAACTACTTTAAGGCGCCACGAAAATAAAACACAAAATAATTTCCAGAAAATAAAAATAAAAAAACAACTGATTTTGTATAGGGTAACAAACAACCATCTTTATCCTATACGTACTTTGTGTCCTATAATTAACGACGAGGAACTAGAAACACACCTAAAAAATCTATACACTAAAACGAATTTAATAGGATCAAATTGTTTGTCCTAAGAGGTTAACCTTATATGTTCATATATTTCCCTTTTCCTACTGTGGTTGATACAAACATATTTACGTTTTTATTTGTTTTAATTCCTGTTTATAAATATAATTTGCAACGCGGTGTTTTTTCAAAAGACTTAAAAATGTCCAACCTGGCAACCTCGCTGAAGGCGGAACCACATGGAAGGGCGGGTCAGGCGATAGTCGCTTTCTATTACGTCACGTCCGTAGCGCTGATTAGTATAATATGTATTAGTCAGTTTGACAGCATTAGAGTGTTATCCTATCTGTTTATAAGTTTGCGGTTGTCAGCAAACTCCCGTGGTTCATGTGACGGGTGTGTATTTCCCTGTTGGAAAACAGCAGCGGCTTGTTGTTTTACCATCAGTGTAATGACAAAAGGAACGGAATGAGACGCGGTGTTCTCGTCGTTTTTAATTTACAGCACAAACGAGTTGGTCTCCAAGCCAAAGTCTACGACGAGGTAATATGTCATATGTTGTCATAAATTCCTTTTTATGTTTTAACAACATACATAGGAGTAAAATTGTATTTTTCCAGATTTAATTAAACTATTGTAACGATACGTTATAGTCTTAAATGTCATGATGATTCTGAGCTGAAATGTTTTATAATGTTGAGCTTTTCGCGATTGTATATAGGATTGTATATAAATATAATACAAGTAACGTAAGTCTGTATATATTCATATACACCTAATGTCTTCACGCTGTTTGTGCAGAATTTAATCTTAAATTTCGCTCTTCTTTTGTCCTCAGAAAAAAAGTAATTTCCCAAGATTGTCAGAATATTTACCCTTTAACAAACCTCAACGTTCAATATTAATGAGTCTAAATTTCGCTTGAGGTCCTAACTAACTCAAATAAGTTACTGAAGAAAAATGTTCGATCAAGGAGCGACCGTGGTTTGTACAAATACTACTGTAAACCACTGTAACCTGACGTGTGATTTACAGTAAATCACTTCATCGTTGGAGTGATAGATCAGTTTGACAGCTATCAGATGGTTATTGTTGTTGGTGTGCGGTGACGCAGTGGTTCTGTTTTTGGAACCAACTAAGGACTTGGACCTTTAAATATCACATTCCAATGATTCCCATCAGATACTGGGGATTTGATGAATGAGAAGAGACTGATAAATACAGAACTTTGAGGATTATTGACACGGTGTCCTGTCTCGAGGTCTGTGCACTCGCCCACAATCAATGAGAATCTTTTTTAGAAAAGCTCCAGTCAAGTTTCTTGGCTTTACATGTTATTCTCCCGAAACGTCACAGAAATGTCAATAACACCAACTACCTGTATTATTATTAAAATTGTTATTAATTATCTCCAGTTCAAAAATGACCTGTCACTCAATTCTACTTCATTTATAGATTCTCTTTGTGTCCCGCTAAGTCAACGTTCTTAGCTTAGCTTAGTTTATCTTAGCTTAGCTTAGCTTACGACAACAGCGACTGAAGCGCAGGTTCTCTGGTCTTAATGACAGGCTCTGGAGGAGGAGAAATTATTTCTCAACTCTCAACGTCAAACCTGTTTGTACATGTTTGAAAACTAAACACAAAAGGGAGTGTGTTTACATTTGTGCTTAAATGAAAAGAAAACTCTTAAGGGAAGAAAAATAGCTACTGAAACTGTATAAAGTCACTGAAATAAACAAACACACACACATATACATATATATATATAGTAAAATGAGAAATAATCAGAAAAAAAAATCAGAAGTTGGACAGAAAAAGGTAAACGCTTAAATAAATGTTAGCTTAAATTAAGCTGATAGCAAATCATGGATTTAGTTCAAAGCTTAGTTCAAAGTTTACCAAATCATTTTTTGTATTTTTTAAGAAATGGACCAGAAATCATTCACACAAATGGCTCGGCCCAGCCAGATTTTGGAAGCCCTGCTTTTACTTTTAAATTATTTTCTTGGTCTCTTCTCAGTCCTTCACCGTCATGACTCACTGACCTCAGCTCCCAGATTTCAATACTTGCCCAGATCTGCCCCCAGTCATGGCGGCACCTAGTGGCTACTCCATTATCTCCACTCATTCAGACAGTGAGGACAGCGAACCCCTGCTGGACAGAAATGAAGGTAACCCTCAGATTGTCGGCTGATTTGTCAATATTTGTCCAATAATCTGGTCATTTGTGTTTGTTTATGTCTTGATTTCTATTTCCTGTTTGAGTGACGTTGACTCACTCCTGAGCCGTTGCTCTTCATTCACTTTAAACTAACCTTAATCTTTACACGTACCTTAAAGTTAGCTAACAACAAAGCCAGAGGTAGCTCCTAAATATCTAACGGTTAGCCGGTGGTTATTTTACAAAAAGACCAGAATAATTTTCCAGACTGGGAGCAAAAAAGAAATCTTTCTACTCTGATGAAAAGGAACACATTAAATGTCATTTCCTGCCCAGGCTCGTCAACTCAACATGCAATGTTTTGATTGTCTTTTGTATAACTTTGAATTAACTAATCTAAGTAATATGTCACTCTGTGGTTGGTTGACGACCTTGAGCCATCGCTCTGCTCTGTGTGGAAGGTGAAAATACTGAGGATATTTAGGATTTTTATTAAAGATTTTCTGTTTAGTTTTTTTTGTTAATCTTTTCTGCTGTTCAGTCCATTTTTGGCCCGTTCTTTTTGGCTAACAGTGCAGTGCAATATATGAAGTTTTCTGTGCAAATACCTGCAGTGATTGACTGACTTAACCGTGTCCGTCCGCCCAAAGCGGTTCCTCCTAAGTGCTGCTCGACTCGCCTCAACCTGGCCTTCCTCATGTTTCTGGGCTTCGCCGTGGTCTACGGTCTCAGGGTCAACCTCAGCGTGGCCATGGTTGCCATGGTGAACACCAGCGACCCCTCATCTGCCAAGAACAGGTCGGTGGTCCACGCCTGTCCTCTGCCCTCAGACACAGACAACACCACGGACACTTTCCTTCAACCCCAGGGGGTAAATATAACAGAGTGTTCATGTCTGTAGGAGTTGACGTTGACGTCGTCACCTCATCGTCTCTCTGTCGGTTCCTGTTCTTGTTCCTGTTCCTCAGGTTCCTCAGTACACCTGGGACACCGAGACCCAGGGCTGGCTCCTGGGGGCCTTCTTCTTCGGGTACTTGTGCACCCAGATCCCCGGCGGTTACCTGGCGGGTCATTACGGTGGCTCTCTGTTTCTGGGTCTGGGAGTTTTGGGCACAGCCGCCCTCACCCTCCTCACCCCTCTCGCTGCCCAGCTGGGCTCCACCTGGCTCTTTGCTCTGCGAGCCGTGGAGGGGTTTGGCGAGGTAGAAAAAAAAAAAAGGTTTTGTCCTTGAATGTGATTTTACACTTGTGTGTGTGTGTGTTCGGTAATGTTTGACCTCTGTTCCAGGGCGTGACCTTTCCAGCCATGATGGCCATGTGGGCCAGGTGGGCGCCGCCGCTGGAGCGCTCCAGCCTGATGACGCTGTCGGGATCTGGAGCCAACTTTGGAGCCTGCCTGGCTCTGCCGCTCACTGGACTGATCTGCCAGACCATGGGCTGGCCGGCGGTCTTCTACCTCTGCGGTGAGGGACCCCCGCCAGGAAAGCGAGTCTCCCCGTCCGTGTCGACCTCTAACCCTCTGCTCGTCTTTCAGGCGGGGCCGGCTGCCTCTGGTCCGTCTTCTGGTTCATGTTGGTGTCAGATGACCCTCGCACGCATCGACGAATCAGCAAAAAAGAAAAAGATTACATCATCAACTCCATCGGAGCTCAGGTGAGACGTGGAACGTTAACTGGGGATTTTCCACCTAGTGGCAGGTTCTGTATTTGCAGTTTCACTGGTTGTTAAAGTTTGTCGTCATCAAGTCATATGACTGGTTAAACTTTTGCTTCACAGAGCAGTTTTTTTTTTCAACGTTTCCACTTCCTGTTTGCAGTTTTTCCATTTCTTCTTCCTCTTTTCACTTCTTTTGTGACAAAACTTTAAACAAAAAAACCTGAAACGAACTTCTGGATTTTTGACCGTTCACAGGTCTGAACAGGAAGTTCATCTCCAGCCAGATTTCTTCTTCGTGTGTTGATGCGTCTTGTTTCTTCTCTGACCAGGGAACAGGTCACGGCTGGTCGGTCCCAGTGCTGCAAATGATGATGTCCGTCCCCCTGTGGGCCATGATCGTCACCCAGATGTGCTCCAACTGGGCCTACTACACGCTGCTCACCTCTCTGCCCACCTACATGGACAACATCCTGCACTTTGACCTCAAATCGGTGAGGCTCGCGCGTCGTTTCTGTTCACAGCGATTTCACGGCCAAATCTTTTTGGTCTCGTTCAAAGACACGTCTGTGCTTCTGTCCTCAGAACGGTTTCCTGTCCGCTCTGCCGTACCTCGGTGCGTTTGTGATCTCCGTCCTGTCGGGCATCGTCGCAGACGCGCTCATCGAGAAGAGGGTTTTCAGTGTCACCTTTGTTCGAAAACTCTTCACAGCCTTAGGTAGAGACCCGTTCACACCCGTT